GAGAACTCCGCCGGGGAACTGGCGGCCAGCGAGCCCCATCTCAGCCCCCCGCCGACCCAGCTAGGCGCCCGGCGGATCCCACCTCTCCCTCCCGCTGACCTCCCCAGCCGCTGGGCGCCGCGCTGGGCACCTAAATTACCTCGCCCGTCTCCATAGTCCGACGACTCACTATTGGCGGCCATTACACTTTCCATCCGGGGTCTGCGGGAGTTGACGAGCTCAGCAATGGAAGGCGGGGTGGGGTGACTGTGGCGGAGGGATACGCGCCGCGCATGAGGGCGGAAGGACGGAGGCCCAGGGAAGTTTAGGGGTACGATTGGAAACCCCTCGAACTGCCGCCCCCCCGTTTTCCTTTTCCTCCTCCCCAGAGTATCGAGACGCTACGAAATGGCACTTCCCTTCCTTCCCCGCGCCATGAACGCTGCGTTGGCGGGTGAGGCGGCCGCAGCTGCTGCTGCTGTGCGGAGACTTTTCGGCTCTAGTAATGAAGACAGTAGCATTCATTGCCTTACCCACCACTGAGTCCCTCCTCTTCCTCCTCCCCTTGTGTGTATGTAAGAGAGAGAGAGAGAGAATATGGGGGGTGGCTCAGTAACACAAAACAACACAAAGCAGAAAGGCACCCATGTAAACCTTACTCACACCCCTATCACGGGTTGCCAATGAAACGGCCTTGTGCACTCTCCCTACAGACAGGCACCTACACACAACCCAAAGCCATGAGGCAAAGAGAAGAGGCATCATCATGTCTTCCCTGAGTCAACGAATAATGATGACATCACCATCTTCCTCCTTTGCTCATCCATCAGCCATCCAGAGCTATTGTTTGAAAGCCCCTTCTTGCTTAGCAATGTATTTATCGTCTCGCTGCCCGTGTTTCAACGGAGAGAAGAGTCTTCTTGCGTGCAAAACTAACTAGGGCCTGTTTTCTTCTCATACTTGACCATAACACATCCCTCTTCGCGTTGATAACGCTTTTTTTATAAAATGGCGTTCTAGTCCTTCAGGCCGGCAGGCACAGGAATTAAAATGGCCAGCCTGGGCCTAAGAAAGCCCTAACGAGCCACCATTCCTCTCAAACAAGGCAGCGCCAGCCATCTTTCCTACAGTCAAAATATACAGGCAGGGAAAGGGCTAAAAACCGTTGGTTTTTAGCTGCACAGTAAAACGCCAAAGATAGGTTAGATCCCATTTGTTTAAAAACTAGGGTCACGTTAGTAAACAACACATCAAAGTATGAAGTAATTGGTTATGAATCTATCTTTGTGGGAGAGATTATCTGGAACGGGAATTCTGAGGTGCAGAAGGGCTAATATGTATCCCCATTGTCTTTTTTGCTGTTCCTGTAACATTGTACAAATTAGAATGTTAGGTAACCTTTACAAGATAGGTTATGCCTGACTTTTACTCTTTTACACTCACACTGGGCAATGCAGTTATTGCATTTGCCTCAGCATGTCATCTGATCCTTTTGAGTCTTGCAAAAGTAAATTCAGTGTCTTCATAGGGCGCCTGGATAGCCTGGATAGGGGTGTTCAGCAATGTCTCTCATGTTTTATAAGGAGAGAAATCACAAAGAAGAAAGGAAACTAACAGAAAATATCTCTAAGACATAGGTGGTGGGCTAAAGGGCAACATCAATCATCATGTGCACAACCAATAAATTGTTTACTTTCTCTGTCTCGTGAAAGAATCTGAAATCAACCAAAATAAATTTTAAGAAGCAAAATCCTGACGGTAAGCCAACAAACAGATTTTCAAATTTATTTATTCAGAGATAGCTTTCTCCATCAAAGCACATCTTTTCCATTCCTTGTTCTACTCCAGTTCAATATTTTAATTTCTAAAAGCAAATATTATTTCAATATTCAGTCAAAAGAAGCACAATTTTCAATGGGCTATCTATCAAATATTAGCCTGCTAAAGAATCAGTAATCTGCCTGAGTGCTTCCCAAATATGTCCATTAATGAGAATCTTTATAATGTCTGAAGTTAGTTTGCATTTATTAAGATTTAATAATATATTTCAATAAAAATATTATGTATGTTTAACTCTTCTTAGTATATGTAACATCGTGTGTGTTTTTTCAGAGAGAGATATCTTTTTTGTAGGAAGTACACTGGGCTGAAAGATATATAAAAAGTTCCCATAGTATTTGGGAATCACAAATCCATCTGTTTATTACCCATACCCATTTGGGTGCAATCTATATAATGATGCTATTTAGTACACTATTCATGTTATATTCTTATGCTATTCATTGGCTGAAATCCTGTTGCACTTGACTTTAAGCACATAGCTTAAAGTTATGCTGCAGAGGTTCATGGGGATTTACATTCAGGCAGTCTTCATGTCTGATGGCCCAACTGTACAACCATTTAGTTTCTGGATACATGTTTTGCTTTGGTGCAATTTTTTTAACAGCTTGAACAATTTCAAGTTACACAGGTGTAGCTATACAATAGGATTTTGGGAATTGTGTAATTTAAAAGTCAACAACCAAGTATTATATTACAGAAGCAGGAATATTTTGGTCTTCAACAAAGAATTGCACTTTGTTCCATCCTTCTTTTTAACACTCAGTTACAAAAATTAATGGTTCTTTTTTTAAACCCCCCCCCCAATTGAAACACCACTGAGCAGTAAACTCAACATTCTCTGTCATTCAAGTCATTCATCCTTTGCTAGAATAGGATAGAAGAAATTTTAAAAAGCAAAGTCCTCTGTGGGTTCTTGTGGAGTTAGGGTGGCGTTAATCATGTCTATTCATCCCCTAGTCATGGTGAGGGAGTGTTAATCATGGGACTTTGACACTTCAAGGGTGTTTCAGACTGATCATATGCTGCTGCTTTCTAGAACAGGCTGACTGCATCAACCTATTTATTAAGAGTAAGCAAGACAGATTAAAAGAACATGGGAAGGGGAGCTACTGAAAATATGAGAGAGGAGTATGTGTGGAAAAACAAAAGGGTGGTTGAGTAGTGAAAAGTGCCATAGTGGTAAGCTCTATCACCACTACCACCCCCACCACCACCACCCCATACATAGCAATATTAAACATAATCAGTGTTTTAAGGATGGAAGGAAAAATAGTAGAACATCACTGTGTAAAGCAAGATAAAATGGCTATTATATGGATGGTGGGAATTTTTCCAACAGCATCAGGAAATAACTCAATGGAGAACAAATTTGGTGTTTTGAAGAACCGTAAGTGGCCAAACACTATTCTAGAAGAACTTTATAGGAACACAAAAGGAATAAACAAAGCAATTTAACTTCATTTTCCACTTTGTTTCATTTCATCTAAGATAAATGTGAAAAAAATAAGCTTTTCATACTAGCTGCTTATTTATTAATACATCTTGTTAGTATATCTTGCATTTTGTTTTGCTAAGAAACTATTAGTATCAATATACATGTATAACAAATATCAAATATTTTCAAGTGCCTGATGAAAGAGTGAGAAACCAGTATGTTAAATCAAGCATTGGTAATATTTGCATAATTCATTATCAAGGTTAGGCCAATAGTAGCCTGCAAATCTTGCCCTGCCATTCCAGGTATTAGTATTACCCCAAGGATACAGTCAAACGTGTGAATATCTTAAACCCAGATCACCACTATGTAAAATCTGCACATTTCCATTTCCCTCTATGAACTTAGAAAAAATGAATAGTTGTTTGCTTATGATTTCTCTACTATCCATTTTAAGACATTCTCATAGCTGAAGCAGCTCTTGAGATTAACCCACTCAGTTTCTCCTGTATTATTTCAGGATGGCTGACAATTAAAAAAATGGAAATTCCTACTGTCTTGGTTCTGTCATTTCCATGGTTTATCTTACCACATCTTACTTTTTATCTTATTTCCTATAGTAAATCTGATTTACTATATAATAGTGTACTATACTATATTTCTATTATGTTCTACTCTTTCCATGATTTATCTTCCTGTTTTCATTCTTCTTCACTGTTTCCTGGCCTCAGTTCCAAAGACCAGCTTTAGACTAGGCCAAAGGTTTGTAGGCAGAGAGCAGAACTGCTTACTCTTTTTCCTCTGTATCACAAATATTGATGTTGTTTATGAAAAAAATAACATTAGAATGTGGAGCACTATTTAAGAAATATAAAACTGAGGTATCTTTGACAGAAATCATTGAACATTTCTGTTGGTCTATCCATATCTCCTTTTCCTCATGTTTTTCAAAATTATTTTTCTTTTCTTTTGAGCAGGACACATTTTTCTTTCAAAAACCATACATCACAGTAACTATAATCCTTTCTTGTTGGAGTCCTGAAAATATCAGTGCTTAAAGCCTCTGTTTCATTTATATATTGTATTCAAGAGATGGAAGGATGCTTTTCTCTTAAATAGCTTATCCTCCATATTGGAGCCAAAATTAAAACACAGAATTATTTCACATTAAACTCTCTTCTGGATAAATGATAAATTTATAATCTAAAAAAATCACTGTCTTTCTGCTGCCACATACAATCAGTACTTTTACAGAATGGTTATCATATAAGATATTATTACTGATTTGCACTGTGTTGCTTCCTATTTACTTCACTTATCTCTTGAATGAAGCTGTAGTTGGAAAAGAAGTTCCAACTACAAAGCAAAGTCCAAAACAAAATAGTCACAAGATGGAGCAACACTTTTAACAAACCAGATTCAAATATGACCCAATGTCTACTTCAGGAAATGCTGCTATGGAATTTAATAATGCCCAAATTCAAGGATCTATACACATCATATAATGTGAAAAACGCATCATGTGTCAGCAATGTCCCACCTGAATTAACATAAGAGGAAGAAATCAGTCTCTGCATGTGACCATAAATGGTCACAAATGTAACATAAGAAATGACAATACTCACAAATCGGCAGGACAATCCTTCAGTCTCCCAGGACACTCTGTCTCTGACCTCAGAATTGCCATCCTTGAAAGAGAACTTCACAGATTCCAATGGAAAACAACTAAACAAGAATTAGTTCAAAGGTTTGGGTCTTATCTTCTGTTCCTTGAAAGGAACAAAGGGTTATTTTATTTATAATATCATTATATATGTTTATCTTTTTATAGTATATAAGATACAGTATACAGTATATCACAAAAGTGAGCATAGCCCCTCACATTTCATAAATATTTTACTATATCTTTTCATGTGACAACACTGAAGAAATGACACTTGGCTACAATGTATAGTAGTGAGTATACAGCTTGTATAATAGTGTAAATGTGCTGTCCCTTCAAAATAATGCAACACACAGCCATTAATGTCTAAACCGCTGGCAACAAATACAATACACTGTTATACAAGCTATATACTCACTGCTTTACATTGGAGACAAGTGTCATTTCTTCAGTGTTGTCACATGAAAAGATATACTAAAAAATTATGAAATGTGAGGGGCTATACTCACTTCTGTGATATACTTTACTGTAGTTTTTTATGTGTTACCATCGCTCTTTTTGTGATGTTTTATTACAATTGTGATGCCAATATCTACAT